GAAACACTTTTAGAGTGGTCAAGCCATTGCCACATTGCCATTCTTAGGGGGGTTTAGGGGAATGCCCCCCAGAAAATGTTTGAAAATTCAATGCTATGAGATTGAATCTTGAGCCATTTAAACTAAAAATACTGTATACACACAACGTAATGTATTGAATTAAATGAAGAAAGTTTTAATACATAAGTTGTAGCTATACATCCAAGAAAAAGTGGTTAGGTCATGGCCTAACTGGCCTTACCGCTTTCTATGACCCTGATTTGAATGTATGAATATTTTATCTCGAGGCCTGGCATAACCAGGTGGTTAGGGCGCTCGACTCGCAATCTGAGGGTCGCGGGTTCGAATCCCCATCACACCAAACATGCTCGCCCTTTCAGCCGTGGGGGCGTTATAATGTGATGGTAAATCCCACTATTCGTTGGTAAAAGAGTAGCCCAAGAGTTGGCGGTAGGTGGTGATGACTAGCTGCCTTCCCTCTAGTCTTACACTGCTAAATTAGGGACGGTTAGCGCAGATAGCCCTCGTGTTGCTTTGCGCGAAATTCAAAAACAAACAAAATATTTTGTCTCGATAAGGCTTGTTCATACTTTTCCCAAAAATCGATCAGTTTTTGGTAAAATCACACTACCTACGAAACGGCAAAACACATCAATACGAATTTCTAATACTTGCCTTTTCACCATGCCTTTATATAAAATCGGCTGTGATTTTCACGTGACTTGCTGTTTTGCATATTTAAAATCGTTTTAATATTATGAACTCGGCCCTCTGCATACAGATGTAAAACTTTTGCACTGCATTAAATTTTATCAGTGATTGAAGAATCTATAAATGAAAACATGAGAACAGAGGTTCTCAAACTTTTCAGTCAGGGACCTTTTTTTTTTTTTGGAGGGAAAGATGTATATATATATATGACCCCACCAGGTAATTAAAAAGCAACCGAAAGTAACTACTTAAAAAAAAAAAACAACAAAAATAATACAATAACACGGGATCGTACGCAGAATGTTTGAGAAGGAGTTTCTAATGCTAATTCTATGGGGGTCTGGGGCATGCCTCCCCCGAAATTTTGTAATAAATGGGTGCTATGAAATTAAACCTGGAAGCAATTTTGCATGAAATATAGCTTAAACAATTGTATGTCTGTTCATATAAAATCCGCAAACATCCAATGGAAAGTCAACAAATCATCATTCTGTTTTGTAACATTGCATGGGAAGCTAGACTTAAATTAACATAAATATGTATGTTTTATTATAGTAAAGTGCTGTGCTATCTACATGCAGAGTAGGTTTTAACTGTT